CCCCGCGCTCCGCTGCGGCTTCCGAGCGGCAGAGCTAGCGGGTTTCATTTCCTAAAGCGCGGCCTTTGGGCGAGCTGCAAGGTACGTGTGCCGACGGAACGCACCCACTTCCCGGGCAGTGCGGGGCGTTGCTGCTGTTCCGCCGTGCCGGGCTCCAGGTGACACGTTATTCCCTCCCCTCGGGCCGGCGCCCGCTGATCCCTGACCTGTGCGCAGGGGGTGGGGGCTCAGGGGGAAGGCACCTGATGTGCTGCTGCCTCCTGCTTTCCGGTGCTTGGAGCCAGCGGGGAGAGAGGTGCAGACACGGAGCGTGATAGACATACCCTGGTGTTTTCCTTCCCGAAGCACACAGTAACTGAGAAAGCATTGTTGTCTCTAGTTAATGAACTCCAGGTGTCCCTCCTCACCTGCCAGGATAAGGAGGACTCTGTGCACTCTCAGCAGAAGACAGGTAAGTGTGCCACTCACCCAGCAAAGGCCCGTGTATTCTTGCTTCATTGGTTTTCTGTGATCTTCCTGCTGCAGTAGTGCCCTGGTCACCTGGCTGGCTTGCAATTTTTGTCTAACAGTGTAGAAACCTTGGTCTTAGGCTAAAATAATTATTTTTTTTTGTATGAGCCCCTTTAGGAAACTCTCCACCTCACTGACTTCCTCAGACAGGTCAGTTTTTTAGGGAGAACATGCAGTGGATGCTGATTTTTGTTCTGGGTAAGGCTGCCCCTTCACAGACCCTCCCAGCTGCCACCAGCCCTGCCAGGGTGACCCGTGACAGAACGTGTAGCTCTGTGCCCCAGGTGCACCTCAGCCCCTGTGGCAGCCAGCACATGTAGAGCCCTGGTGACCCCTGGCCATGGTGATGGCAATGGCTGGAACTGTAAATGCAGAGAGTGCACAGGCAGAAGGATGATGGTTCCCCTCATTGTGGATCTGTGTAGACATTACCCCTGCTGTCCTGGCCTGCTGGTGAATAGAAGCCTTTTCTCCTCATCTGTTGATATGACAACTCGCACCAGTGGTATGCTCAGCTTGTTTGGGATTTAAAGGCTGTTGTGTAAAAAACCTAACCACCTGATTTACCTTTTTTTTTCTTTTTTTTCCTGTTCTTGATTTTATTTGTGATCTGAATGAGAAGTGGCGTGAAATTGTGAAAGACAAAGCTCGGTCTTTGCCTTGACTTTTGTCTAAGGTATAGGGTGTGATCTTTCATTCCAGAATCTTTTGAGAAATTTGAAGCAGAAGAAACAGCCTCTATGAAATCTATCATAGTAACTACTGCTTCTGGGGAGGAAATAGAAGATGAGATTGTGGAAATGTACTTTGAAAATAAAAAGAAGTCTGGTGGGGGGTTAATCGAGACCTACGTCAAGAAGGATCAGCAAATGATCATCACCTTTAAGGATGAGGAAGGTATGGTTGTACCTTATGGGTGTTGTAGTACTAAAGCTGCCTTTTAAAATAGGCTTTTGCTGGTGCTGGGTCTTCGGGCATTGCTGCCTCAGAAATGGTACATTATTCCCAAAGAGTGACAGGATGGGAAAGGAGGGGATGTGTCCATCTATCCGATGCAGATGTGGGTTTCTGCCAGTGCTGATGAAGATCCACAGGGGAAGAAGTGGTTCTCTAGACTGATCTCCAATACTTGGTCAAGGGTCACAGAGCATAATGCAGGAGAGATGATGTCAGGAGCCCTGCAGAATAAGTAAGCTTTAATTCTAGTTCAGGAGACTGGATAAACCACAGTAGTGTTAACTGCAGATCATGGATGATGTATTGTCTTCTGTATTAATTTCAGTTGCCAAGGTTTTAAGATTATGAGGAAAAGCAGTAGTAAATGTTACATATTTTTAAGACACAGAGGTAAACATTCACCTCTGTG